GTTGCTATCCCCAAAACGGGGTAACTAGCGTGATGCAATTATTTCTTGTAAGGGTTCTGATTGATACTTTCAAAAGCAAGCTACAAAATTGCCTTCTCTCTAATTGCTGAAGCTAAGAAGAATTGGTGTTGCTTCCGTTTTTCTTATTTAAGAAAATAGTTCTACTTGTCTTTTCCTTCCCTGATTTTCGTCCATACCTTCTGAGATTTTAGGTCAAGATCATTTTTACTAAGTAAAGGGTATTATTATAATGATTATTACAGTAATCTCCCCTTATCTGCAGTTTCACTTTCCAAAGTTCCAGTTACCCGCAGTCAATAACAGCCTGAAAATATTACATGGAAAATTCCAGAAATAAACAAATGATAAGTTTTAAATTGTGTGCGTTATGGGTATTGCAATGAAATCTGACATCCAGCTCTGTTCCACGCAGGACATGAATCATTTCCTTGTCCAGCAGATCCATGCTGTATACGCTACCTGCCCGCTAATCACCAGGTAGCTGGCTAGGTTATCAGATTGACTGTCTCGGTATCACAGTGCTTGTGTTCAAGGAACCCTCATTTTACTTACTAATGGCCCCAAATCGCAAGAGTGGTGATGCCGGCAATTCAGATATGCCAACGAGAAGCCATAAAGCGTTTCCTTTAAGTGAAAATGTGAAAGTTCTCAACTTAATAAGGAAAGAGAAAAAATCATATGCTGAGATCTATAGCAAGAATAGATTTCCTGTCTGTGACATTGTGAAGAAGGAAAAAAAGAAGTTGGTGCACAGCACATACAAAGCTCAGTATTACCCACATTTTCAGGCATCCACTGGGGGGTCTTGGAACGCATCCTCCTTGGATAAGGAAGGTGCTACTGTGTTAGTATTATCTTTATTGAAAATCCACCAGCCCTGAGGACATTGGCTCCAGACCAGCCGTATGAAATAGAGGCTGATTTTTCTTCCATGTCCCTGTGGTGGGCTGGAAAATGGCTTTCCCAGGAGATAGCTACATCCTAATTCCTGGAACCCATGAATGTGTCACCTTTATAGCAAATTTTTGCAGATGTGATTAGAGTAAGACTCTTGAGATGGGGGATTATACCAGATTATCTGGGTGGGTTTAAAGTGTAATCCCGTGTGTCCTTATGAGAGGGAAGCAACGGGAGATTTTAGACACAGAGGAGAAGGCAATGTGAAGACAGAACAGACAGAGATTTGAAGATGCTGGCTTTGAAGATCGGAGGGACGTGACCACAGGCTGCCAGTAGCCGTCAGAAGGTGGAAACAGCAAGGAACTGATTCTGTCCTAGGACTTCTAGAAGGAGCAGCCTTGCCAACACCTTGGTTTTGGCCCCATAGTACTAATTTTGGACTTGTGGCCTCTAGAACTGTGAAAGAATAAATTTCCGTCGCTTTACGTCACAAAGTTTGTTACGGCAGCCACAGGAAACTAATACGCCCACACGCTTCAGGGCCTGCAGTGTAAGGAGGTGATTCATTACCCCCAAATGCTGCTTCTACACATTTTTTCCCCTCTTTCTCCATCAAAATCCTGAGCTGATATGCTTATGCTAGTGAAGAACATGTAATCAGATTTAACCACCAAATGTCTCTTTTTTTTTTTTTACTAGAAACTTCCTGAGCATTGCTCTCTTACCAAGGGCTTGAGCACTCAGCTCACTGCATTCACTTTTACTCTTTTATCCTTCTTGACCATTTCAACACACTCTGACCTTCCAGATGTTTTTACTATCTCAACTTCAAAGATGTGTCCTTCCCTCAGCCATGCACTGGAATGGTCCTTCCTAAAGCTTGTCACTGCCAATAACTTCAAAATCTCAGGTCCAATCATACCCCTTGGAAGCACCACAGCCAACCCTCCCAGTGTGTAAACTCTAATTCTCCGTTCCGACTCTCTTCGGACCACACAGGGACCACCCTTGTACCGAATCCACCATTTGTCACAATCTCCAACCTCACTCCCAACACACACACCATAAACCCTCATACCCCAATTTAAAGGTTTTGATCTGGTATCAGAATCATTGTTTTTTCTATTGGTAAATCACTAGGAAACAAGAAAGGAAAAAAGAAATAAAAATTTATTCAAAAATATAGTAAAAAAAGTTAAAAAAAAAAAAAAGAACCATTGTTTTGACCCCAGATTTCATTGTCCTAACATCCTTTTGCCTCCACCCTCTGTTCTGTTCACCTGATTAAACCTTCCATCTGCTCAACCAGACTGCCTGCCTACCTTGAGCTAAACATCTCACTTTAAATTCACAACGACCCATCTCAAAAAGGAATTCCACACTGCCTAGCAATCCTACCCTGCTTTTCCAGAATAGCTGTCTTCTCGTTCCCAAAACACCTGTTTGTGAACTTCTCCTCTTTTTATTAATAAATATACCACACATTTCCCCCATTCAATCTCTACTAATGACCTTAACTCACTTTGGGGTGGGAAAAAAAAAAACCCTCAGGAATCAGATGAAACAAACCTCATCTTCCCACCACCAAAGCTATTTTAAACTCACTTATTTTTCCTCTCTCTCGATACAATGGAAGAATTGTTCCTGCCTCTCATTGAAAACCATCTTTCCATGTTTACTCTGGATCTCGTCTCTGCTCAAGGAACTTGCTCCTACAATTTCCCCTTTTCTCTCTTGTGTTGTCAATTGCCCTTTCACAACTGGATTGTTCCCAGAGGCTCACATAATACTTTGATATCACTCATCTAAAAACAAAAACAAAACACAACAAAACGTCTTTCACCCTCACACTGCCCTCTGGCTACGTCCCATTTCTTTGTAATCTTTCACAGCCAAACTCTTCAAAATAATCTTTACTCACTGTCTCTACTTTCTTACCTTCTATTCTTTTCCCAACCTATATATATTTTTTGAATATTTTGAACATAAATATTTTTGAATGTCTATATATATATATTCCCAACCTAAATATATATATTTTTTTTTTTATTATTATTATTATTATTTTTTGAGACAGAGTCTCACTCTGTTGCCGGGCTAGAGTGCTGTGACATCAGCCTAGCTCACAGCAACCTCAAACTCCTGGGCTCAAGCGATCCTCTTGCCTCAGCCTCCCGAGTAGCTGGGACTACAGGCATGCGCCACCATGCCCGGCTAATTTTTTCTATATATTTTTAGTTGTCCAGCTAATTTCTTTTCTATTTTTAGTAGAGACGGGTCTCACTCTTGTTCAGGCTGGTCATGAACTCCTGAGCTCAAACAATCCTCCTGCCTCGGCCTCCCACCCAACCTATATTTTTAGGGATTCCTTCCTCACTCCACCCGCTCTACGAAAAACTCCTTTTGTTTTTTTTAGCAAGGTCTCAAAACTAACAGTCAATTCTCTATTCTCACATGACTTGATCACGTAGCAGCTTTTAAACTAGCTGGCCACTTCCTTTGGTAAACCCACTGCTGTGGTTTGAGTGTGTCGCCCAAGGTTCACATGATGAAAACTTAATCCCCATTGCAACAGTGTTGAGAGGTAGGTCTTCTAAGAGGTGATGAGGTCATGAGGACTAAGCCCTTGTGAATGGATTAATGCTGTGTAGTGGCAGAGGGTTAGTTATCTCAGAAGTGGGTTCCTGATAAAAAGATGAGTTCAGCCTCCTTCCCTTCTCTCCCATAGGTGCATGGGAGATGCACTCTCTCTTGCCCCACCTTCTGCCACGAAATTGACACAGCATGAAGGCCCTCACCAGATGCTGCTCCCTCAATCTTGCACTTCTCAGCAAGCCAAATAAATTTCTGTTTGTTATAATTTACCCAGTCTCAGCCATTCTATTACAGCAGCACAAAATGGAAGGAGACATCCACTTCTCCCTAGATTTCCACGATACCATGTTCCCCTCTTTTTCCTCTTATGTCCCTGGCTACTTTTCTTCCTTATTTGTTGGAACTTTCTTCTCTGTTCAATGTCTAAATGTTGGAATACTCCAAGCTCTGTCCTTATCCTTCTTCTCTCCCTATCTGCACTTTCTTCCGATGTCATCTCATCCAGTCGCATCCATTACTGTAAATACTACCTATATATTGATAACTCTAAAATATATTTGCAACACTGACTTTTGTACTAAGATCCAGACTCAAATATCCACCCGTTGGGATTTCCTTGTCAATTCTTACTGCCTTAAGAGTAGGAAAGCTGCTCACACACTTTACTTTTTCATATATTTTAGCCTGTGACATAAATTTTATGCTTTTTGCCTCTCGATACACAAAGCCAATATTTTAGGATTCTAAAAATGGCCTTTGCTCTTTCCAAAACCACTGGCTCGAAGTCTGTGGCCTTTGGTGTAAATGTATGGAAGTTTACAAAGGAGCTCAAGAATAATGAATTTGACTTTTCTGGGCTGTATCTCTCCTGAGAGTTACCACCCTTAGAAATTCTAGATGACGAAGGAGAACATAAATGGGCTTAAATAATTCTCAAGAAGGAGAGGGAGAAGCAATGCCTTAAAATCTTATTATCCCCTGCGACATCGTTTTTCATTGTTTTATAGGTTTTCATATTTTTTCTGTGCCTTCTGAGGAATTTTACTGGGAAGATATAAAAGGCTACATCAGGGACTTCTAGCCAAGTGCTATTTTAAACTGAAGGTGTTTATTTTTTATGGAAGTAACTTTTTCATGCAGCAATTTTCTTTCACCTTGTGCTTTTTCTTTGTAGAGCAATGCATGAGAAGAAGGAGATAGGAACTAAGCTCAGGTCTAGAAAGGGCAGGTGCCAAAAGAAAATAGAAGAAGACCTAAAAGAGCTTTGTACACCTTGTAGTTTGCTCCAAGCTATGTCTGCTTTTATCTTCACATTAAATAGGTGATATATTTGTTTCCTGGGACTGCTGTAACAAAATACCATGAAAACAGGCAGCTATAAAACAATGAAAAGGCAGTAGCCGCGTCTGCCACCGTGGGCCCCCCCAGCCTGCCCAGCTGCCCGGAGCCACGCCCGGAGCTCCAAGGGCGCCCCAGGCCGCGCCATGGTGAAGGTGACGTTCAACTCGGCTTGGCCAGAAGGAGCCAAGAAGGAGAGCCAGAGCTGCGAGGAGGCGCTCATCATCCCCCCACACACACACCGTCGCGGTGGACTGCAAGGACCCAGATGATGTGGTACCAGTTGGCCAAAGAAGAGCCTGGTGTTGGTGCATGTGCTTTGGACTAGCATCTATGCTTGCGGGTGTCATTTTAGGAGGAGCATACCTGTACAAATATTTTGCACTCCAACCGGATGACGTGTACTACTGTGGAATAAAGTACATCAAAGATGATGTCATCTTAAATGAGCCTTCTGCAGATGCCCCAGCTGCGCGCTACCAGACAATTGAAGAAAATATTAAGATCTTTGAAGACGATGAGGTTGAATTCATCAGTGTGCCTGTCCCAGAGTTTGCGGATAGTGATCCTGCCAACACTGTTCATGACTTTAACAAGAAACTCACAGACTATTTAGATCTTAATCTGGGTAAGTGCTATGTGATCCCTCTGAACACTTCCATTGTTATGCCACCCAGAAACCTGTTGGAGTGACTTATTATCATCAAGGCTGGAACCTATTTGCCTCTGTCACATCTGATTCAGGAGCACATGGTTATTACTGATCGCAGTGAAAATGTCGATCACCTGGGTTTCTTTATTTATCGACTGTGCCATGACAAGGAAACTTACAAACTCCAACGCAAAGAAACTGTTAAAGGTATTCGAGAAACGTGAAGCCAGGGATTGCATCGCAATTCGGCATTTTGAAAACAAATTTGCCGTGGAAACTTTCATTTGTTCTTGAATAGTCAAGGAAAATATCGTGGAGAAAAATTTAATGCCACAGCATAACCCACCCTTTGTATTTGTGCAGTGATTATTTTTTAAAATCTTTCATGTAAGTCAAAACAGGGCTTCACTTCTTTTCATCTCATTAATTCAATTAAAACCATTACTTAAAAAAAATCTTTTTTCCTTTCAAGTGTGGTGTCTTTTATATTTGAATTAGTAAGTGTATGAAGTCATTGATAATAAATAGTACACTTCACCATAGATCTTAGGTGTTAGGAAGAATTAAACTTCTATCATTTATCTGGATTTTTATGTTTAATTATGCATTTTCAAGAGGAGGGTTATCTAAAGAATAATCATTATATGCATAGTAAAAATGGACCACAGTGACTTATTTGTAGTTGTTAGTTGCCCTGCTACCTAGTTTGTTAGAGCATTTGAGCACACATTTTAATTTTTCTCTAATTAAAATGTGCAGTATTTTCAGTGTCATATTTAACTATTTAGAGTATGATTTTCACCTTTGTTTTAATAACCTAGGCATCTGCTGTAATAGTATTTTAGAAAATGTTTGGAATTTGAGAAATAACTTGTGTTACTAATTTGTATAACCCTTATCTGTGCAATGGAATATAAATATCACAAAGTTGTTTGACTAGACTGTGTGTTGTTTTTCCCCACATAATAAAACCAAAGAATAATTTGGTTCTTAAAAAAAAAAAAAAAACAATGAAATGTGTTCTCTGACAGCTGGGGAGACTGGAGGTCTGAAATCAAGGTGTCACAGGGTTGGTTCCTTCTGGAGGACCCGAGGGAGAGCCTGTCCCAGGCCTGTCTTCCAGCCTATGCTAGTTGCCAGCAACCCTTGGCACTCCTTGGCTTATAGATGCGTCACTCTGACCTCTGTCTCTATCTCCCCATGGCATCTCCTCTCTGTGTGTCTCTGTGTCCTCACATGGCCTGCTGTAAGCAGGACACAAGTCCTTATCATGGACACCAGTTATTAGATTCAGGCCCCACCCTTATCCAGAATAACCTCATCTTAACCAATTACATCTGCAAAGACCCTACTTCCAAATAAGCCTATATTCTGAATTTCCAGGTGCACATAAATTTGGGGTGAGATGCTATTCCACCCGGTGGAAAGCAACTTTTGAAGTTGTTCTGTGACAAAATGTGGCACCATTTCTCCCGAGGCTCTGGAGGAGTCACCTACCTGATTACAACAGGGAAGCTGAGAAGGGCAGTGGGTTGGGAGTCAGGTTATGTCTTCTTCGTATAAATTTGAAGTTCAACTGGACTTTCGAAAATATAGATATAATAGCTAGCATTTGGGTTTTGCCATTCTCGCTTTTCTAGCATCTATAGCATCCCTCTCCCATTTTCCTTTCTATCTAGTCAATAGTGGGGAAAGAAAAGCACTGGACTAGAATTCAAAAAAGCTTGCCTTAAAGTCTTGTTTCTGTGATTGCTATCTGTTTGGCCCCGAGAGAGTCACTTCCCTGAACCTATGTCCTTAACTATAAAATAATCAAACTCAAAATCATTTTTTGTAAGTTTATATCACTTTCACCTCTCAAGTTATTAACATTTAACACTGAAATAAGACTTTTGGGATACTGCGTTTTATTAAGGAAGCAAGGAAGTCTGTAATACCAGAGAAAAATTCCTACTCAGGATAGTTAAAATATTTTGATGTTTTAAGTAATAAACTCTAGTTGCTTAGAAATGTATTTATATGGAACACATATTTATCTGGTATTATAAAGTAACGTTCCAGGTCAGCAGACAAAATGGACTATTCTGCAAATAAGTGTGCATGCAATTGAAGACCCATGGAAAACCTCTCCAATGAGTTTTGGATGTCCCACAGCATAGAGTATTTCATATAGACATTGGATTTATATGAGGTTTGTCCGCAAAGTTAACCATCCATTGTTAATATATTTTTCATATTACATGGATGGATACTTTCTGGACAGACTTTGTATTTCAGGCTAAAGAAAAGAGAGATGGAAGGGTGAGAGGGAGAAAGAGAATGAGAATGAGCACACTAGAATTCCATTGCCTCTCTGAGCTTCAATGTTCTCATTTTTTAAATGAGGTTGATAATTCCTCTGAGCTCTCTAACATGGGGGATATAGTGCAGTTTCCGTATCTATCACATAATCGAACTCCAAAGTGCCCAGCACCCTAGCACCTGGTAAGTGCACAATTCCTGTTTGTAATAGAATAAGAAATGAGCATTCCCTGACTACCTCAAGGGGCTGTTCTGAAATGCAGCTTGTTACTGTTATTACTTATGTCACCTTGTCCTGCTGATTAGTAATAGCCATCCCAGTTTGCCTGTTGCCAAGTTTTTCCTTTTTCTAAGCAGTCCACGCTTTGACCACTAGATGGCACAAGAGGAAAGATACCAAAAGAAGCAAAAGAAGGAAAGGTGGGTGAGGTTGGCTGCAATGTGAATAAAGCAGCCATTCGGGTTAATTAAGTAACACAAGCAGCCAGCATTTCACTGAAGACATTGCAGGAAAGCAAAGCCTTCAGAAGACTGCACTTAAAATGAACTTTGAGCACTGGTCAACACAGAGACAAAAAAAAAAACTCTCCGCAAATAGTAATAAGATACTGGAACCAAAAACAGTAGCCTTGAACAAAACATTCTGGGACACCGTGGATATCAGCAGAACTGAGCCAATCCAAGAAGACAGCCCAGACCGGATCAACCACCATGATTAAGGGTTATCACCATTGCATGGAGAAACCTCCATCCGATGTGAAAATTCCACTCAATAGAGCAGAGTTGTTGCACAGTTTTTGGTTTGATTAAATGTGGATTCCTTTCAAAGTCAATTTTAACAAATCCTTGTGTTGTGTATTTAAAATCACCAAAGAACTCCCTTAAATATTGTTACACAAAAGCACGTGGCCTATATAGACTCAGTTTACTATAGGAGTCACAAATGTAGAGTCCAAAGTGGGCAGAAGAAAGTAATCATCTGGTGCATAATACTGCCTTTTAAAGCCTGGCTTCCGTCTGCTGCGTTGCATGTGACTTACAGATGCAACAGACAACTCCATTTGCTGTGTGATTCCATGCTTACCAAGAAGCTTTCCAGTTATAAATGGACTTTTTCCATAGATCTGCCTCCAAGAAGAAAAAACTTTCAAGCACAAGCACTCCCAACTTTGTGACAATTGTATTTTTCACAGTAGTTTAATACATTGGTATTTTGTTTTTAACATCAGTCTCCTGTGAGCTTGGTAGATGTGGATTGTAACCAGGAAAAGGATTTCTTCTTGACGAAATTAATTTTCTGAATCTGTTGGACTCAAAAGCCTGGACTGTGTTGAATTCTGCATTGAATGCCTCCTGTGATGTCTCTTGGCAGACAACCAAGGCCCTGATGACTACATAGCGACCCCTTTCCTTCATATTATTCTTTCACGCTTTTGTGTCCGTAATTCTCTATCCTAGTTGCATATCAAAGTTGTCCATGAAGATGTTTACTAATGCAGATTCCCGGACTCTAGCCCCAAAGATTCTAACTCAATAGACCTAGTGTTAATCTAGGTATCTGTATTCACAAGAAGCCCGGTTGATTCCAATGAGGCTGGCCCTAAATCTATGGTGTTTGAGAGCCATTCATCTTCTTGAATATAATTCCACAGGTTAGTCTGGGACCACAGAATCACGGAATATATTATTTGGAAAAAGGTCTCCAGATGAATAAGAACCCCTTTCTATAGCGTCCCCGGAAAATTGCAGAACTTGAAACTGGGCTTCTTTCTGCTCAGGTCTTCATGTATGCTGTTTTCTATGGTCTCTATGGCTAGAAGAATCTTCCCTACCTCTCCTCACTTAGCTAAATTCCAATTATCATTTAGGTCATAGGTTAGATGTTGCTTCCTCATGGGAGTTTTTTTTAGACCTACATTGGGACACACTCCCCTATCATCCTCTATCGGTCCTTTGTAAACTGATTTCCACTGGTTTTTAAATAGTGACTTGTGCAAAAATTTAACAGCTGTCTTTCCTAAATGCTTTTCTGTCTTATCATTGCCATATCCCCATGGCCTGAAACACGGGAGGTACCCAAAAGTATTTTTGAATTAATGAACGGAAAAAATAACAACAAATGAAGAAAGTGTGAAAATATCAGGTGCTGGTATCTTCATCTTATTAAAGAAACACATTTCACTTCCAAAGCCCACGGACCTGACCGCTCAAATTATTTCATACTTGATATTAAACTTCTCTTATATAAAAAATAACCATACTTCACAATTTGTCCAGAACAATCCAGTTTTTTAACAATGTCGTCTTGGTGAGCTTGTTAATAGCATTGACTTTTGGCTCCCCAAATTGTCCATGTGGACAATGAACTATGTAAACACTCTACTTATGTACCATAATTCCGTAACACGTGAACCGTCTCTCTCTCTCTCTTTGTAGGTGAATTGAAGAGAAACAGCCTCCATGTTTCCGTGGCTGTGGTATTAACAGAAAGAGCTTAAGTTATTAAACCGAGCAGCTTTAATCCCAGAGGTCCCCAGGAGCAGAGGGGATTAATGTATTTTTACTCCAGAGCCAATGTAGCTATCCCAATGAGCTAGGATTTGCTCCCCGCAACACCCACACTGGCCCCAGCTGCCTTTCTGTAGACCCACCTCCCTTCTGCCAGAGAGGTGATGGAGTTCTACCTGGAGATCGACCCTGTCACCTTGAACCTGATCATCCTAGTGGCGAGCTACGTCATCCTGCTCCTGGTTTTCCTCATCTCCTGTGTGCTGTACGACTGCCGCGGGAAGGACCCCAGCAAAGAGTATGCTCCTGAGGCCACTCTCGATGCCCAGCCCTCCATCCACTTGGTGGTGATGCAGCAAAGTGCTCCTGGGGCCCACTGGGCAAGAGGGTCTGGTCTTCATCTGGGGGATCCTGCTCTGCTAGGGAAGAAAAGCACCATGGTGTGAAGCTGGCCAAGGGACGGTGAGGAGAGACCACCAGACAGACTTTCAATACAGAAC